TTTAATTCCAAAACAGAACAGTGACGGGATTTTCACAAGTTTTCACGAGCTCCTTCTTCTCCAAGGTCCTTAGGCGTCCATTGAAGCTTTCTTTCAGCAAAACTTCTTGGGTTAGTAAATTTCAACTCGTTTTCTTCATTTTCCATCAATATCTATTGAATTCCTAAGCCTAAAACATGTAATTTAGGGTAGAAATTGGGGGAAATGGGTAGAGTTAGGGCTTTTTGATTTTTCTTAATTTAGACCTCGTTTTGGGGTCGAATTTGAAAACAAATTATATATTCGGGCTCGTGGGTGAATGGGGGATTTGATTTTGGTCCGAACCTTGTGTTTTGACCAAGCGGACCCGGGGTCAATTTTTGGGATTTTGGGAAGAAAGCTTGGAAATCTATAATTAGGCATTGGGTTTGATTTGTACTTTGGAACATTGGCTCAAGTGGTAAAGAGAGAGGTGAAATAAAAGTGAAAGGAAGAGAAAGAGTATCTAAATTGTTCCCTTGCCGGGATGTTGTTGTTTATTGATTATTTTCCCTTGCCGGGACGTTGAGATTATTGATGTTGTACCCTTGCCGGAATTTCTTTTATTATTTTGTTCATTCCCTTGCCCCCTTGTTTGTGATTGTTGTTTGGGTGAGGAAGAGTGTTAAAGCACGAAGGGTAATACCGTGCATTGTTTGTTTATTGTGAGGAAATAGTGTAAAGCACGAAGGGTGATACCGTGCAATTGTTTGCTTATGGTGAGGAAAGAGAGTAAAGCACGAAGGGTGATGCCGTACCGCACGATGTACCATTCCGTGCCAATTCTATTGATTATATGTGAGGAAAGAGAGTAAAAGCACGAAGGGTGATGCCGTGCACATTTTATTATATCATTGCTTGGTGAGGATGAGAGTAAAAGCACGAAGGGTGATGTCGTGCACTTGTTGCTTTCTGTCTCTTTATTAATGTCTGAGTTGTGCAAATTCCTTCGTTGCTGGACGACTTTTACTTGAAATTGTTATTTCCCCTTAGCATGCTCCCCCTTCCCATATTGATTTCTTGTCTTTGTAGTTCGATTCCGCTGTATATGTATAAATAACTGCACAGGTTTATGTGGTAGTCCGGTCTAGCCTCGTCACTACTTCGCCGGGGTTAGGCTAGGCACTTACCAGCACATGGGGTCGGTTGTGCTGATACTACACTCTGTGCTATTTTGCACAGATCCAGGTTTCGGACAGCAGCAGCAGTAGTGTGGGAGTAGGCCTTCAGTCCAGCGAGACATCGAGGTAGCTCTGCAGGCGTCCGCAGGCCCGACGTCTCCTCTATCCTTTATTTTAGTCTGTTATCTCATTGTATTCGAGACAAACAGTTTACGTTCTCTTTCAGACGATTGTATTTAGTATTCTTAGTAGTTCGTGAGTATTGTGACACCAGTCTTGGGTAGAGGCTTATGTTGAATTTTCCGCATTTCTATTCAATTTTCTATAATTTAAGACTTCCGCTTATTATTTAATTTCTTTGCTTTTATATTATTGCTGATAATTGCTAAAAGAGGTAAATTGGTTAATGGTAAAGGTAATTAAGGGTTGGCTTGCCTAGCTCTCATTAGTAGGCGCCATCACGACTCCCGAGGGTGGGAAATCCGGGTCGTGACATGCACCAAGGGTCAGTCCATTTTTATTCAACCTGGCGATCGATGCACTGACGCACCACATTCAAAGGGAGGTGCCGTGATGCATGTTATTTGCAGATGACATTGTATACGAGACGCGAGATGGTGTAAACGAGAGGTTAGAGGTTTGGAGGCAGACCCTGGAGTCTAAAGGTTTCAAATTGAGCAGAGCCAAAGCAGAGTACTTGGAGTGCAAGTTCAATGGTGCAACTCAGGTAGTGGACGAAGACGTGAGGCTTGATTCACAAGTCATCCTAGGAGAGAAAGTTTCAAGTACCTTGGGTCAGTTATACAAGGGAATGGGGAGATCAACGAGGATGTCACACATCGTATTAGGACGGGACGGATGAAATGGAGGCTCGCTTCCGCTGTTTTGTATGATAAGAATGTGCCACCAAAACTTAAAGATAAGTTCTATAGAGCGGTGGTCAGACCGATCATGTTGTATGGGGCGGAGTGTTGGCCAGTCAAGAAGTCTCATGTCCAGAAGATGAAGGTGATTGAAATGAGGATGTTGAGATGGATGCGCGGGCATACAGGTTAGATAGAATTAGAAATAAAGTTATCCGGGACAAGGTGGGCGTGGTCCCTGTGGAGAATAAGATGCGGGAGGCGAGACTTAGATGATTCGGGCATGTGAAAAGAAGAGACACAGATGTACCGGTGAGCAGGTGTGAGAGGTTGGCTTTGGAGGGCCAAAAGAGAGGTAGAGGCAGGCCAAAGAAGTATTGGGAATAGTTAATTAGGCAACATATGGCGTTGCTCCAGCTTACTGAAGACATGACCATAAAAAGGACGGCGTAAAGGTTGAGAATAAAGGTAAAAGGTTAGGTAGCCGAGCGTTGTCCTTGTTTGTTACAGTAGCTCTAGCCTCTAGTACATCATTTAGTGTCTTTCGTGTATTTTCGTCTTCCAAGACTTCTGTTATTACTTGTTGCCTTCGCTTCGGTTTTCTGATATCATTACCTAGTATTAGTTTTGTATTTTCGCTTCGGCTTTCCGATTAGTTTGCTTGTTATTGCCCCTTCCCTTTATCTTTCCTGAGCCGACGGTCTACCGGAAACGGCATCTGTGCCTTCTTAAAGGTAGGGGTAAGGTCTGCGTACAGACAACCCTCCCCAGACCCCACTTGTGGGACTACACTGGGTATGTTGTATGTTGTTGTACTCTTCTTTCCTCTCATTTCTATCTATACTAGTACCTTGCCTCCTAAATTATATGTTGAAGACCTTTCCATTTCAACTTATATCGTCATTTTGGAGCCCAGAAGTCGAGTTTTCATTTGAATTAGTTAATAGTTGACTGATTCTAAATGTTTGTTGTCATTTCATTTAGTTTATAGTTAAGCTAATGAAATAGTTGACTTGCTTTTTTATTGTTAAAAAAGTTAACTTGTTTCGTTCCTTTTTCTCATTTCTGTTTTTTATTGCTTTAGGCAATCCCTAGGATAACCACCAATTTCCCTAAAAAAGCTTTTGCTATGCAAGAAATAAAGGGTTAAACTATCAGCCACCTTGCTAGGAAAAGCCACTAGATAGCTGGTAGCATTTTCAGTTTTCAAAATAGCAGATGACACAGAGATATCCGCTCTAGATCCTCCATAAGAAGGTTATATCTGCAAGTGCTAACAGAAAGGACACCCAGATTATTGAGGTTACTGGTATTCCAATCAAAATGATGAGGCATTCCGTGAGCATAATCCTAACAACATCTTTACCATCATCCCTCACATCAAGGCGTTAAAGTATCAAGCAGCACTTAGTATCTCTTGTCTCTTATGATTAGAAGTATTAGCATGGACTTCTAACTACATTTTGCAAAATATACTGCAGTGAATCATGCAATTTACTGAAGGATTCTGTAGAAGTGTTTACACTAGATAAACTCAGAAACCACTCAATGTTGGGAGTGAAAATCCAATAATAAGCCCATCTCAAATGGTGTCAAAGAAAACCCCAAGAAGCGAGAAGCAACAGTTGTTAGAAATGGGATGTATATCTAAATCAGTTAGTCAGGTATCAATTTTTCTGTTGAAGTTGCATGTTTGTTAACAGTTTCTTTATGCACTATAGACAAATGATGGGTGAAAAGCTTTCTGGTCTGGGCGTCAAAGATTTACAGAACTTGGAGAACCAACTGGAAATGAGTCTCCGTGGTGTTCGTGTGAGAAAGGTACGAACTTCCAGATCCATCAGATGTGCACTATCTTATATGAACTAAGAAAGAACTAATTCAACCTCTCATTTCTACAGGATGAAGTTCTGATTGATGAGATACAAGAACTAAACCGAAAGGTCAATCAACATGAAATGCAGTGACTTCCATTTTCAATTTGTTCTAAAACGGATAACTATTAAAGAAGCTAAATTAACTTTTTTCCTTTCAGGGAAACCTCATCCATCAAGAAAACATGGAACTATATAAGAAGGTAAACCTAATTCGTCAAGAAAATATGGAATTGTATAAGAAGGTATCCATGTACATCACCAAGAGCTTTCACTGAGCTTCAAGAACAATTATTTCCTTCCGTATTCATATACCAAGTAAAAAAGTTTCACCATTCTACTTAGAACTCTAGCAAATTGTTTCTACATTTTGTGTTGAACTTCAGGTTTATGGAAATAGAGATGCAAATGGAGTGAGCGGAAATGCCCTTGCTCCGAACAGTTTAAGCATTAATGAAGACCCCCACGCCCCTGTACATTCCAGCTTAGCCAGCCACAGCAACAAAACTATAACACATCAGGAACTACCGAATTGGGGTAATTTCTTATTCATATACTTCATCTGGAAGCACAATGGTAGCTCACTACCTTGATCATTGACTATCATCTAACTGGAACATGCTGCAGGCTACAGCTGCATTAGCGGGAAAACCAGACTCATAAGAGTTTTGAGTTCTCATGTTGAAGAAGCAGCCCGTGCTTAGAAAGCTATGTTTTAATTAGTACTGGTAGTAGTGGTATAGAACCAGGGATGTCAGGAAAATTCTTCCGTTCATATGGTTAATGTCAGCAAGTTTGACAAGTGTGAGGAAATCCTTAGCCCAGCTAAGTAAGTCAAAATAACAACAAATAAAAGAATACATTGGCACAGTATCTCTAAGTTCTTTATCTTTCTCGACACTTGATGCTTATGATGTGTATACATATATGCTAGGATTATAATTGATTTGACACTTTTGAAATAATTGTAAATAGTTGACAACTTCAAAACAGGAGCAATAGCGAATAGATGTAAGCAGAAAAGGTTTTACAAAACAGTAGCTTCTCATAGAAATTCCTTGAGAAACACACCACATGCAAACAGTACAGATCTGAGCTAAGCAACTTAATACATTAAGACATACCTCAAAGTTGCATCAATATGCTTTGCATGCAATAGTCTTCAGAAAGGACAAACTAAGTTCATTACAAACCAATGTTAAATTTCAGCATTCAACTGGAAAAGAAAAATACACAATACGAATTCATATTAGTAATGCTCTTCCCGGGAATTTCAGAATGAATGATCTTGAGCTTGAAGACTAAATATGTATAGAAAGAATTATATCAGGAAACAATATATGAAACATGCTTCACAATTTTGAGTACTACATTCTTTGCTGCCAAATACAGTAAGTGCTTGTTTTTTTTAAAATAAGGAATATAGTAAATGCTTCTTAAACAAGTTATTTCTGGATCACAAGGATCCCAATGCTAAGCCAACATGAATGGCATGCGCAATCAACAACAATTTCTGTACTACAAAAGACAAAGTCTCACCAAATTATCTATTTGTACAGCAAGGGATTGCACACTTAAATTAACAAGAAAGCATTCATGCTTAGGTCATGAACTGTCTGATCATAAATTTCATCTCAGGCAGAAGTCTTCTGTATCACTTCAGGAAATACACATAGGCAGAACACGGTCATCTAAAAGGTGTAGAGTCTTAACCACAAAAGACTATTCAACTGCTATCTGGATGTAGTTTACATGAACGTGAATGAAGGAATATTGAGTAGTGAATAAGACTAGGGAATTGGAAAAAAAAGCAAAAACTTCACGGAGCTTATCAAAGTTTAGTTTTTTTTATGAAGTAATGTATTGTATTAAAGGCATCAATAAGATGCAAGAGATTACAATAGAGAGCTTGGTTAACTCGTTAGGACAAAAAACTATTCTAGAACCTAAGTTAACCGAGGGCAAAAATCAGTGGTTACTAAACCATTGAGAGAGAGCTAATGAAGTCTAAGAGGGGGATGATATCATTTACAGGGGAGAGATTACTCCAACTAAAAAGATTAATTAGACATTTAGACTTCAAGTGTCCGTTGGAAGTTGAAATGCCATCAAAACATCTACGATTCCTCTCTGTCCATAGACACCAAAAAATACAGAATGGGATCATTTGCCAGATCTTTTTGATGGATCTATCAACTTCCCATAGGCTCCAGCTAAGAACTGCATCCCTCATGTTCTGTGGCACTGCCCAGTTGAAGCCAAAAAGTGCTAAGAACATGTTCCAAAGGTCTGATGCCACAGCACGGTGTAGAAACAAGTGATTAACCGACTCAGAGTTGAGCTTGCACATGTAGCACCTATTTGCCAACTGAAAATTCCTTCTGCTAAGGTTGTCCTGGGTCAAAATAGCTTCATAGAGGGCTGTCCAGGAGAAACACTTGACTTTTGTGGGCATCCTTGTCTTCCAAATCAGCTTCCATGGCCAAAGCTCAATCATGTCATTAGATGCACTTAGTTTGCTATAACCGGCCTTTACAGTGTAGTTACCTCTTACAGAGTTACCCCACCTTAAGCTGTCTGGGACTTGAGAGTCCCCTTTGGCTTCTTCAAGAGTTCTGTAAAGATCAAGTAGCTGGTTTAGTTCCCAATCCTGCATATTTCTTCTGAAGTGAAGATCCTAGGTGTTCCCTGCTCTATTTTGGGCTATAGAAGAGTTGGTGTCTGAGGCAATCTGGTATAGGTCGGGATGAGAGTCTTTTAAAGCTTGGTTGTTGAGCCATCTATCCTTCCATATTTTAATGTTGTTGCCATTCCCAGCCTTATAGGACACTTCTTGAAAGAACGCTTCTTGTAGGTTGTTGATATGCTTCCACAGGCCTACTCCATGTGGGGCTCTATTTTGTTTGGTGCACCACCTGTTTTGCACCCCATATTTTGCATTAACTACCTCTTTCCATATGCTTGTTGATTCTTGAGCATATCTCCACCACCACTTCATGAGCAGACTCTTGTTATGCTTGGCCAAATCTCTGATTCCCAGACCACCTTGATTTTTTGGCATGATCACTTTTGGCCACTTCACTAGATGGAATTTGTGGCCTTCACTATTTCCTTCCCATAGGAATGATCTCCTAATTTTGTCCAATTGTTTCTGCACCTTGTTTGGCATGGGAAAAGGGACATAATGTAGTTGGGGATACTATCTATAACACTGCTGATTAGAGTCAGTCGACCACCCATAGAAAGATACTGCATTTTCCATGTTGCCAATTTTTTCTCCACTCTCTCAATTACACCATTCCATATCTCTGTTGCCTTGTACTTAGCTCCTAGAGGGAGTCCTAAGTAGGTTGTAGGAAGGGAGACAATACTGCAGCCCATTAGATTAGCCAGCTCCTCCAGATTTGGAACTTCATTCACCGGGTAAATCATGCTCTTCAACATATTGATGTGCAATCCTGAGATAGCTTCGAATAGGAGTAGTGTCAGGTTGAGGAATTGCATCTGAGATCTCTCTGCCCCACAAAAGATTAAGGTGTCATCTGCGTAAAGTAAGTAAGTGACTGTGACTGATGTGTCTGAATTATTTCCAACCCTGAACCCATCAATCCATTGCATTTGTTTTGCTTTATCTAGCATTTTACTCAGGCCCTCCATAGCTAGGATGAATAAGAAAGGTGACAGAGGGTCACCTTGTCTTATTCCTTTTTGAGGAGAGAAAAAGCCCACTGGAGATCTGTTCACTAAAACAGAGTACTTGACTGAAGTGATGCTGAATTTGATCTATCTGACCTATCTGTCCCCAAACCATAGCTTTCAACATTGAAAGAAGGTATGACCAGTTAACTTTGTCAAAAGCCTTATCAACATCTAGCTTGCAAAGAATTTCGGGGATCCCTCTTTTCAGCCTCTCATCTAACATTTCATTAGCTACTAGAGAGGCATCTGTGATTTGTCTATTCTTCAAGAAAGCACTTTGCTCGCCCGAAACTAGCTTCCAAATTACTGTCTTCAGTCTCTCGGCTAAAGTTTTGGCAACAACTTTGTAAATGCTTCCAATGAGACTTATTGGTCTAAAGTCTCTGAGTTCTATTGCACCTTTCTTCTAGGAATGAGAGCGATGAAAGAGGCATTGCATGATCTAACCATGAAGCAATGTTGATGGAAGTGGGAAAGAGCCCCCATAATTTCAGCTTTGATGAATGGCCATGATTGCTGGTATAAGGCCATTGTGAAACCATCTGGACCTGGGCTTTTATCAGGTGCGCAGGAATTAATTGCTGCCAGTACTTCTTCCTCCTCAAAAGGTCTTTCAAGCCATACTTTTCCAGCTGGTGATAAGCTGGCCAATCCTTCAAAGGTCACTGAAGGCCTCCATTGCTCATTCTCAATGTATAAGTCCTGATAGAATCTTAAGATTTCATCTTTGATTTCATCACTGTCTTCAGTTAAATCATTCCCAATCAATAACTTGTCAATACAATTGTTTCTCCTATGAGAGTTGGCCATTTTTTGGAAAAACTTTGTATTCATGTCTCCTTCCTTGAGCCGCAAGCACCTTGATTTTTGTCTCCATGACACCTCCTCCGCCTTTGCTAACTTTTTTAAATCGAGCTTTATGTGCATTTATTGTTCCTTTTCGGTCTGAGTCAAGAGTCTATTTTCTGAAATTTGTTCCAGGATAGTTAGCTCTTCCAGAAGCTTACTCCCTCCGGTTCACAATAAGTGTCCAATTTGCTTTTTCATTTGGGTTCAAAATAAGTGTCCAGTTATGTAATCAAGAAAGAATTCAATTGTTTTTACAAAATAACCCATATGTACATATCCCTAAAAAGTTTTCTTACTCCTCACATTAAATGTTTAATTAGCGGTAGTTTAGTCATAGTAGGTATTTTTGTATAGAATTTAGTATTTTCTTAATGGGCGTGCTAAAAGCAAATTGGACACTTATTGTGAACCGGAGGGAATATTTCTTTGAGCTTCCAATTGGCCAAAGGTAGTTCTGTTCCATTCTGAGATGTCTTTTTTCAGCCTTCTCAATTTTTGCACCAGTATGAAGTCGGGGCTGCCCCTAATAGTGTAGTTGTTCCACCATTCTTCAACTTTGTTTATGAAGCCTTCAACTTGAAACCACATGTTTTCAAACTTGGGTCCAGAAGGGGCCCAATTGCTCGTTATTTCCCTTTTGATTTTAATTTGGGTTTTGGGCCTCTTCTGTAATAGACTTGGTCCATTTTGTGGCCCAACCTGTTTGAACCCTCTAAGCCACACTTTGCTTTTTTAATTAGGGTTGGCCGACTCGGCGTGAAATCCAAAGAGATCATGTGAACCCCATTTGAATTAAAGGGGCACGGACTCCTATGCTGCTTTGAATAAATTGATGGGTTATTAACTGATGGGTTAATAACCATTGGTTTCTCCAGTAACGTCTTCGATTGGCTTGAAAAGGCTGCCGCCGGCGGTAGTTCCACCCTTTTCCCTTTTAATTGAGCAGTTTTTTCTTCACCCTCCACCACGATTCTTGTAAGTTGATCATCCAAAATTGAGATTTTAAATCTCTTTCCATCTAACACCAGATCCAACTCCTTGTGAGCGACTTTTATTTTGTTTTGAACACAAATTCTTGCCCAGTAAAAGTGTGTTCTGTTTTTACTATCTTCATCTACATCAACATAGCCTCCACAGAGCTCACCAATTTGACGAAAAGAGTCTGTTGTCCAGCCGTGTAAAGGGATGCCAAAAGCTTTGACCCACCTTTCCCCAGCTTTATTTTACATCGGTGACGACCCGTATTCCGGCGACCACCATTCGGGGGATAGCCGTCTACCGTTCCAGTACCAATCCCCCGCTTTGACTCTAGCAGCTTCTTGTTTTGAGGGCAATTCAAATAGGAATTTGTTGTGCGCAATCGAGGTGATTCTGAGGCCAGCCGTCACTTTCCACCTTGTGAGGAACCATTTCTGTATAACTTATGGATTGGGGCTTGAATTGAATGGGTCGTTGAAGCAGCCGACTAGACATTTTGCTAAGAAATCTTTTGTTCCACCTGAGGTTCTATCTTCCACCTGCTGTAAAGGCCATCTCGATATTTCAGCAGCAGCTTTGAAAGGTTTCTTTTGCAAATCCGTGAATTTCTTGAATTTGTAATTTGATGCTTCCCCGAGAAAGTGTAAGATTTTCTCTGATATATCTCCCCAGCCTTTGTTATGGACCACC